CACGACGTGGCGAATGGACACCACGGGTTGCGCACAAGCGCCCTCGGAGAATCCCCGCTGGGCGCTTCGGCGAGAGCACCAGCCAGCCCACTCGCGCAGCCCATTCCCTGATAGGACTGGCGATGGCAGCGCATGCGCCGCGCAAGAGCGGGAGGGCCGCTTGCAGGCAGGATCTGCGGAACGCTTAGCTTGGCATCGCTCGGGCGTGTGCATTTTGTCTCGGCGAGGACCATCGAGGAGCAGTTTGGGTCATCTTGCGAAAAAGCACACGCTCGAAACCGAAACTTGCACGGGGAATGGGCGTCCGAGCGATGGCGACTTAGGCGAGAACGACACTTCGCCCGCTCGCGCGCGGCCCCGCTCTTGCTTCCAGCAGGGCATACGCAGGGACCCAGATCCAGTGGCTATCGGCATGCTAGGTGGAAAGGTGCGAGTGCATGTAGGGGGGTGGAAGAGGAGTCGGAGGAGGACGAGGACGAGGACGAGGACGAGGAGGACGAGGAGGACGAATGCCGTGAGGACGACAAGGACGCGGGGTTGGGGGAGGGGGATGTCGAGAAACATAAAACAGAAGAAAATTGTTGACGATGCGGAAGGTGGATAGCGGACAAGAATAATGAGGATGATGATGACGGTGAAGGGGGACGGGCAGGGGGAGGAGGAGGAAAAGGGTGAGTAGGAGTGGTGGTGGGGGATGATTCGGTTGAGGGCTAAGGAGCATGAGCAGCAGCATGAGAATAGGGAGCATTCGTGCATGCTATACATGAGGACGATCAGAAGGAGGATGGCAGTCAATAGCCAGGGACTCATCCAGCTGCCAAGTCCCGCCACCGTGCCAGCCAATATTTCCGGCGGCGACTGTTTGAGGGGCCCGTGTTGGGTCAACCTGACACCACCTCACGCACTGGTACGTGGTGACCCGCGCCGTTTTGGCTGCGTCGCGGCTGTGCCGCTTCCCGCATGCGTGCGTATTGCTGCCTCGGGGTCTCTCGGCTTCCGCCACCCTGTGAGTTGCAGCCTGCCAATGCGTCGCCTCCTGGCGTCAATTCTTTGGCCGACGGTCCTTCGGACCACCCTGGTTCTCGCGCTCACGCCGACGTCCGGGGCCTCGCCTTTGCATTTCTCGTTCCCACCTCGACTGGTGGTTCGTTGGCCGCGGCCATCCTGGTGCCCACGCAGCTGCTTGAGGTTCGGTCTCTTGCATGATCTCTCGGAGTTGTCCCTGGTCGTCGTTTATATCCCGACTTCTGGCGCCTTCGACGGACCTGCATCTTTGCACGCTGGCAGTTCCACTCAGTTTCAGTTCCTCCTGCCACCCACTTGCCGCTGGGCCGCTGCGTGATGCCTCGGCTTGCCGCGTTAACTGTAGCCTTGCGCGCCGCCTCTGCCTAATTAGTCTCTGCGTAGCCCGCTTTGACCTGACTCGCCGCTGGCGCGCTCGTCCGCGGCCGCTGACTTAAAAGTATACGCACCAGCTTTCTTGCGCGGCCCGCTTGGACCTCACCTTCGCCTGCGGCTGCGACAAAAAAGTATACGCACCAGCCCTTTCCAGAACGATGGCCTGGCGGCGAGTTGTCCGAATTCTGGAAATATATGAACACGCGCTGGAACAACAAAGGGAGGCAGCCATCAAGCCGGCTCTCGAGGTCATATTGAGCACAATCTTGACACAGGGAGGTAGTGACAAAAGTTAAGAACACAGGGCACACTTGTCTTGTAATTGGAATGACCTTTACGCGTGCCAATTGGAGGGCAAGTCTGGTGCCAGCAGCCGCAGTAGTTCCAGCTACAATAGCGTATATTAAAGTTGCTGCGGAAAACGAATTCGTAGTTGGATTTCTGCCGAGGACGACAGGTCCGCCACCGTGTGAGTACAGGAGTGGGATTTTTGAGAATGCCGTCGAAGCTGGAGGCGGGAGGAGTTCAAGAAGGTACAAGGATGAGGGAGGCGGGAGGAAGATGATGAGGGTGAACAGCTCATGAACATTATACAAACAAGCTCTGCGCTGAATGCCTTCTTTGGGACCGTTGCGAGCCTTCTGTGGCCATCTCGGGGGACATCGACCAAGAAGAAGGCGGTTCCGATCTGACTTGCATCCCGTGGAGCACGACAACTCGCGTTTCCCAGTTTCTTGGCACCCTCCCTTTTCCTCTTCCCCCTCATCTCTCCCTCCCCGCCTCCTTCACCCCTCCTTCCCCCTTCCCCTTTTCCGATCACTTCTCCCAGGCAGGGGCGCACGAGCCGACGATCGAGCGAGAGAGGAGAGCGAAGACGGGGGCGGAGGAGGTGGCGCTCAAGTGCTAAAGCTAGGGGGCGAAGGCGAAGACAGGGGTCGATTCGGCAACGTCTCTTTCTTTTGGCTCCGAGTCGTTGCGTTGATACGTCGTGCTGCGTTAGGCTGGCGCTCACGACGACCTCTTCCAGGGATCGGCGCGCCTTCGAGAGGAGTGGCACGTGAGGGCCTCTGCAGTTGAAAGTTCCTTCGTCTTCGAGGTCGTTGTGGTGAATCATCTCCGCATCGATTGCCGATCTCATCTTTCGAGGGTAACGACAGGGCCTATCATGATCCG